GTGTCCTCTGCGTCTTTGTAGTGTGGAAACACGTGGCTGCCTGTCTGAAGCGGGGTGATTCGGTGTCTTCCGTGTGACTCGGGACCTCAGTAGGGCGTGCGCAGAGCTGCCTGTCTGCAGCAGTGTGATTTGATGTTTTCCCTGCGACTCTGGACCTCGGTAGGGTGTGGGCAGACCTCCTAATTGGTTTTTTGTTTTCTTGCTATTGAGTTGTTTGAGTTTATATACATCTTTGGATATTAACCAATAATTACTATTATTGTTTTACTATACAGTTGAATTTACTATGTAGCACAGTCTAATCTTCAACTCATGGTTATTCTCCTGCCTCAGCCTACTGAGTACTAGAGTTATAGGTGTGCAGTACCATGTCCAGGTTAATCCATTTCTAGATGTATGACTTGCACAGATTGTCTTCCACTTCATAAACTGTGTATACATTATGAATTAGTTTTCAGTAGTACCTGGAACTTCTTAGTTTGATATAGTTACATTTGGTCCTTCTTGTTTTGTTGTCTGTGCTTTTAAAATCAAACCCTAAATATTATGGGACGGGCCAGGTTTTTGTTCAGGTTTTCTTTTAGTAGTTTCACAGTGCCATAATTTGGATGTTGAAAGATACCCAAAGATCCATACGTTAAAGGCTCAGTCCCCCAGTTGGTGCTTGTGGGACACGGCCGAACCTTTAAGAGGTGGGGTCTTGGGTCACTGGAGGTGCCTTTTTGAAGGAGTTTGTTATATTCAGGCCCTTTTTCTTCCTTTTCCTCTTGACCTCTTATCTCATAAGTGGTTTTGCTATGCCAACATATCCTTGTTAGGTTGCATCATCATAAGCTCAAAACAATGGAACCCATCATTCATGAACTTAAATCTATAAAACTGCGGGCCAATATAAAATGTTTTCTTTGTAAGTTATTGATCTCAAACATTTCATTATAGGGTCAGAAAATGAATAGCATATATAGTCTCTGGTTTAAGTTTTTAATTTTGAAATTAAATTTTGAGATTTTTTTGTATCTGGTGGATTCAAAAATCTAATTTCTTTCTTTCTTTTTTTTTTTGGTACCAGGGATTGAACTTGGGACCTTGCGCTTTCGAGGCAGGTGGTGGAACCACTGATCTAAATCCCCGGCCCCTAATTTAATTTTTGTGTATGTGGATATCTAGTTTTCCAGCACACTTATTGAAGAGATTATTATTTCTCCATTGTGTATTCTTGGGATATTTTTTGAAAGTCAGTTGACTGTAGATGCATAGGTTTGTTTCTAGCTTTTCTACTTGGTTTCATTGGTTCATATCACTTTAGCTTTTTAAAAATTAGTATATATTTGTGATACATAAGGAATGCATTTATCATGGGGAGTTGGTCTGTATTGGCATCACATTTTAATCTTTTTACTTCCCTTCACTTCCCCTTTCGCCCCTCTATTCCTCTATTCCTGGATCCTCATGCAATCTCAACAAAGTCCATCTCTCTTTTTCCTATCAGCTATCCTTTATTTTACCCTTTAAATTATTAAAATGTTGGATTTCTCATGTAAGAGAAACTATCCAGTAGTTAACCTTCTGTGCTTGATTTATTTCACTTAGCATTATGATCTCAAGATGCACCCATTTTCCTACAAATGACTCAAATTTATCCTTTTTAGGCCTGAGTAGTACTCCATTGTGTGTGTATACCACATTTTCTTTATCTGTTCATCTGGTGATAGATGTATAGGCTGCTTATTGTATGTTGTCCTGCTATAAACATAGGTATGCACGTGTTATTATAATATGGTATCTTTGATTCTTTTGGAAAGATACCTAGACAGTTCCAGTGGGTTGAATAGAATTTCTATTTGTAATTTTTTGAGGAATCTCCATACACATTTCCACAGTGGTTGTATATCCTCACCAACAACATAAAAGTGCCCCCCCCATCTTACCAGCATTTTTTTGAGTTCTTGATGATAGCCATTCTTTATGTCAGGTTTTTCTTTTCTTTTCTTCTTCCCCTTCCCCTCCTTCCTCTCCCTCCTCCTTCTTCTCCTTCTCCTCCTTCTCTTTCTTTCCCTCTATCTCCTTTTCCTTTTTTTCTTCTTTATCCTCTTCCTCCTTCTTGTAATTTTGGCTAAGGAATTCTTAATCTTGTTTATTCTTTCAAGTAACCAACTTGTTGATTCATCAATCCTTTGTATTTCTTTAAATTCTCAATTTTATTAATCCCTGGTCTGGTTTTTACAATTTCTTTCCCTCTATTATATATATTTGGATTGCTTTTGTTTTTCTAGGATCTTGAGATACATGATTAGGTTATTTATTTTGCTGTATTGTTTTAGTGTGTACATTCACAGTTAGAAACATACTTTCATTGTGTCCTAAAAGTTTTGGAATATTTGCTCCCATTGTCATTTGATTCTAGGTACTTTAAAAAATTTCTTCCCTGATTTTTTCTGTGAACCCATTGACTACTCAATAATATAATTTTTAATCTCCATTTATTTGTATAATTTCTGTGGCTTATTTTGCTATTGATTTCTAGCTTCATTCTGCTATGATCTTATAGTATACAGAGAGTTATTTCAATCCTTTTTTATTTGTTTCAGAATGCTTTATGATCTAAGAGATGATTTTGGAAAAATGGATATATTTTCAAAATATAAATATGGATATATTTTGGGAAATATTCCATGTGGTCCTGAAACACTCTGTAGATACCATACTTGTTATGCCCATTTGTTCATTAGTGTGGTTTAACTCTGATCTTTCTTTCTCTTTTTTTGGTCTGGTTAATATGTCTATTGTGTGAGTGGGATATAGAAATCCCCTGCTAGAACTGTATTACATTTATTGATTTAGATATGTTTGGGTGTCGAGCATTTTGTTTTATAAAATTGGCTGTGACAACATTTGGTTTGTATATTTACAAGTATTATCTTCTCTTGGTGAATTGTTCCCTTTACCAATATGTAGTGACAAGTTTTGGGTTGAAGTCAACTTTTTCGGAAATTTGAATAGCTTCTCCTGGCTGCTTTTGGGCTCTGGTTGCCTGCAGTATTGTTTTCAGACTGTGTGTGTCCTTGTTGATGAGGTGTGTCTCTTGAAGATAACAAATAATTTGGTTTTAATTTTTTGCTCTGACCTTCCAGTTATTATTGAAAGGTACATAGTGATTTCTGTCATTAAATTATTTTTACAGTATTTGATTTCTTTTTTTAAAAAACTACTCTTCCAGTGAGATTTATTATTTTCTTTAGTCTCTTGGGTATTGTCATCATTGTTGTCTCTCTTTAGGATTCCTTTAAGTACTGTATGTAGTATTTACATAGTACTGGTTTGATGGTCATGAGTTTTCTTTAGTTTATCTTTATTCTGGAAGACCTTTATTTCTTCATCAATTTTACATTTTACCAGATATTGCCTGGGTTGGCAATGATTTCTTTCTTTCTTTTTTTTTTTTAATGATTTCTTTTTTAAGTATTGAAAAACTTCACTCCAAGTTCTCCTGGCCTTAAAGTTTGTGTTGAGATTGCTGTTATTCTGATGGGTTTTCCCTCATGGGGAAACTTGGCCCTTTTCTCAAATAGCTTTTAGTATGGTCCCACTGTTCTGAGTTTCTGGGATTTTGACTATGGTGTGTTATGGAGAGATTCTTCTCTGGTCATGTCTATTTTGGGATATAAATTTTCTGCCATAATTTTGGTGAATACATTTTTTCTTTGGTACCAGGAATCAAACTCAGAACCTTGCCCTTGCAAGGCAGGTGGCGGAACCACTGAGCTAAATCAGCCCTGGTGAATATATTTTTTATGCCATTGTCACTGCCTCTACAATGATCCTGAAGTCCAGTGCTCCTCAAGTTTGCTTTTTAGGTTCATCTCAGAACTCTTGGATTATCTTTTGATTGTCCATTGTTTTTTGTTATTAGTGAGTAAATAGGTTACCACATCTTTGTCCAGAGTCCTGATATTTTGTCTTCTTAGGATTCATCTTGTTTCTCTAAAAGGAGTACAAGCCCCTCAGTTGACTGCAGTGTCTCCTGACATACTGCTGAGAGTGTGATCTGACAAATGCCACTGGGCTCAGCCAGGAAAGTATCTAGAAACTTGCCTGATGTCATTAAGTTCAATGTGTTTTTCTCTTCAAGGTAGCATGGATGCTATAGAAGGTGGGGGAAAACAGGATATCATTTCTCTTAACCTTAGCCCTCTTAACCCTCTTAACCTCCTTCTCTGAAGGAGGGTCCTGGAGTGATTGGGGTGAGCTTAAAGCAGAAGTCTAAATGTCTGCTTAGGACAGGAAAACATACAGGGGCATCTAATCAGAGTCCTCAGGTTAGCATTCAGCAGATAAGTAGTCACTACACCGGGTGTATTAAGAGAATACTGAATACACTTAAAATAGATGACTGACATTTCCTACCATATCTGTGGCATAGTCTATATAGGTGGGTTGTCAATGTTATTTGAGTGTTTCAGAGTCCACAGCAGGTGTACAAAAGGAGCATGGATCCTGCTTGACATAGAACAAGACAAGCAGCAATGCCTATCCACAGCAGAGCTATTTGTGAACAACCCTTCAACTGCCAGTGAGGTCAGAGATCAGGCCTTCCGTGTTTTCTTTGAAGATGGGTTATACATTCCATTCTAATCATATAGCTTTTGGTAGGCGGAGAATAAAGTCCAGGTTTTTCTTCTGAAAAAATTTCAAAGTTGCAAGATAATTTCTTGCCATCTTTGAGAAATTATCTTGACATCTTTCAGAAATCTCAAAATCCAAAATCATTTATTAACATTCTGTTTGTATAGTCACATCGATGTAAAGTAGATAATTTTCACTAGGGCAAAGATCACAAAGCATTCATCTGAAAAACATTCCAGTAGGTGTCTCAGGAAATCTACCTCATTAATCATTGTTCTTAGGGTAAATAACTGGTGCTGAGTATAATGCTTTTTCCAAATGTATGAATCCACACCCATTCTATGGTATGTTTAGAGCCTAGTTATCCCCTGGGCTGCATTTCAGAAGCTGAGAGTCTGAGCAGCCGGGTGGCTCTGGGCTGTAGTCCCCATGGCTCCTGCATGTTCAGCCGTCCCCCTCTCTCTGTGCCTGTGTCTGCTGCTGGCAGCTGGCTTTGCCCAGGCAGGCAGGCTGCTGGTGATGCCCATGGATGGGAGCCACTGGTTCACCATGCGCTTGGTGGTGGAGAAACTCGTCCAGAGAGGGCATGAGGTGGTTGTGGTCATACCGGATGAGAGTTGGCAACTGGGAAAATCACAGGATTTGAAAGTAAAGACTTACTCAGCTTCATTCACTCTGGAGGAGTTGGACCAGGAATTCAAGATTTTTGCTGATGGTGTATGGGAACGTAGGGAAGCAAATTTATTTCATTCCTGGATTATTAGCAAGAAAGGTTTTGACATGTGGTTTTCACACTGTAGAAGTTTGTTCAACAACAAGACCTTAGTGGAATACTTAAAGGAAAGTCACTTTGATGCAGTATTTCTGGATCCTTTTGACTTATGTGGCTTAACTGTTGCCAAGTACTTTTCACTCCCCTCTGTGATCCTCACCAGAGAATCATACTGTCAGAGTCGGGAAGAGGGTACACAGTGCCCAGTTGCTCTGTCTTACGTTCCCAGATTTCTCTCAGGGTTCTCAGATGCCATGACTTTCAAAGAGAGAGTACAGAACCATATTGCCCGCCTCATGGAGCATTTAATTTGTCCTTATTTTTTGAATGAAGCTTTAGCAATTGCCTCTGAAATTCTACAAACACCTGTCACTGCATCTGATCTCTACAGCCAGACAGCAATTTGGTTGTTACGTACGGACTTTGTCTTTGACTATCCCAAACCTGTGATGCCCAACATGGTCTTCGTTGGTGGAATCAACTGCCATCAGGGGACCCCCTTGCCCAAGGTATGTTCTTTCTCCTCTGGCACATTACCAATAATCTGGCTTTCAAAATTAAAAAAAGTTAGCCAGCTGAATTGTGATTTGTTATGTATTCATTATGATTCTGGGGATTGAGCCCAGGGCCTTCCCACAGAGCTACATCTCCCTTGTTTATTGTTAATTTTCAGACATTGTCTTGCTAATTTGCTAAACTGCCTAGGGTTAAATTTATGATCCTGTTGCTTCAGCCTCCCAGAGCGCTGGAACTATAGGCATGCAACTCCAAGCCTGGCTTTTGTCATTTCCATTTACTGTATTTGGGTTTCCTTCCTGGTTTAATGAATTGCTTGGAGCCGGTTCATATAATTGGTGAACAGCAAATTTTGTAAAGGGCTGTTGTCATACATGTGTGTACAATTGGTATAATTTATGTAATTTACAGGCTGCACTTTTATTACTGTTTTTGGAAAACTTGGCAAAAGTAGAGTGAAAAATCAAACATTCCTCTCTTTAAAAGTACATTTTACAAATTTATTTTATTTATAAGATTTTTTTTTGTGGCTCTGGGACTGAACCCAGTCCTTATGTATGATAAGTAAGTGCTCTACCACTGAGCCCCACCCCAGCCCAAAGCATTCCTTTATACTAATCTTATGCTACTCTTATGGGAAATAAGAAATGCTGGTAGCGTTTTTTATGCATCTTTTCTAGTTTTTTTGTTATTATTTATAAATGTGCACATGGCTAATGTAATAATAAAATATATTCACAGACTGGATTTATCGTTCTTTCCCTTGCATTTTTCACATACTAATAAATCATTGACATCTGTACACTCCAATATACATTTGACAATTTTTTCATTAATTGCAGTCCTAATTTATATGTATCATAATTTTTTTCTTAAGCAACCCATATTGTCATTTAGAGTTTTCCCATCATTTACTGTTATGAACAAGACTATAGTAAACATTCTTAAATTTGTTCTTTATACACAAATATTTCCAAATTTGACTTTTTAGCTTAGAGCAGTGTCTTAGGGTTGAATTTCTGGGTGCAATGGTGCAATGAGATTATGTTTTACTAGATTTGAGAAACCCCTTCCAAATATTGAACATGCTCTTACTTATATAAGCAGTATATGAAACTTGGAGCTTTGCAATATCGTCTCCAGTACTAGATGTTGTCAAATTTTACAATTTTTGTGAATCAAGCAAAAGAATTCCATGTAGCTGCTTCAGTCTTCTTATTCTGTTTTCATGTACATACAGGTAATTTACATTTCTTTTGTGACTTTCATATTCCCATTTGTTAATCATTTTTTTTTGTATTAAATTCTTTTATTGGTACATTGTAGGTATACAACACAATTACATTTCTCATTGGGAATTGTACCTTTATATAATGCATATTGTTTATTATTTTTTCCCCATTCCTAGCCCTCCCTTCACCCCCTCCACCCTTCCCTATTTACAAAGACTTTATTTCCATTTTTTCTATTTCTCATCAT